TGAAAGTCGCTTCCATAGCTGATGAGCCTTGTGCGACGATGCAACTAAACCGGGCTTGTGGATGGTGCAGTTCTAAATTTAAGCTTTCACACCGTGTCTTTCTATACGGAGTGGCTAAAGTTACGTCCGCACTGAACGCTGAATGTCTTACGTCAATGAACCCTCTCTCTTTCAATTAATCCAAGGAGGCAGGGACTTTAAAAACAACAAAGAGTTACGTCGCCCACAATGCTACACGCTTTGTTTTTATTTTTACTTTACCCAGGGTGTAAGGTTCGTACACTAGACCACACACACGCGCTAAGGGAATAATATTCATGTATGCAGGGCCACTGCGCCCTTAGCCGCTGCCAGATGAATTTCTATCGGCGCTCTTCAGACGGGGGTGGCTGCCGGCAGCGTCATCCGGTGACCAGCGCCGCACCCTACGCCTTTAGCGGCTTAAGATTTTGTTTAGATATCAGAACCTCCATCTCCCGTTCTTGCGTACAACTAGACTCCAGTACGCCAGCCACGGAGCTTTTAAAATCTTATGCCTTAGTTTTTTCGCCAAAAGCATTCTCTATTACCCGTGTCATCAGCGATTAAAAACGATAAATTCCTCTAAACTGCGCTCGTCACGCTCCTTTGCATATCGGGTTACGCATGCTCGCATCTCAGACCTCGTGACTCTCGAATATGTTTCATCAGTCGTCCGGTCACGCAGGACTCTCTGTTTCAACATGGCGAAAGTTTAACAAGGGGTGACGCACTTCGCTTAGCTCTAAACCCGCGTTGTCTTTTAACGAGCGGCGAAAGCTGACTCGAACGAGGCCAATGGAAATGTCCGCGTGCTTCATGCTTGAAGCGCTGAGGTGTTGCGTTCGGTAACATACCCCGAGGTGCAAACCGAGGAGCTTTGTTCGGTTCTTCTTGGTGAGTTGTACTTCAGTGCACGCATATACAGTGCAGCGACACGTGAAATAAGTACGAGGGGCGGGCTTGTCACTGGAAGGCTGCAGTTGAATCTTTAAACTAGTGCTTAATATATCTTGATATAAAGTCATATAGCTCAAACTTGAACTCGGCCGCAAATTAAAGAAAGTATAATATTATGACAAGTTTTTTTGTTTTTTTCTTTTTTGTTTTTTGTATAGAACTTAGCAGTAATTGAGGCCGCAGCAGCTAGCGACCAAAATGTTGATCTGGAGTTTATACATGTACAATTCGAATCGCTGTGATTTTGAACGGGATAAAATACAGCAACACATATCTTAATAAAACGCACGTCAATGTGGTGCAGTTTACTTTACCTAATGAATTAGCTTGCTTCTTTGTTTTTGCTGCAGGATGAATTTGCAGAGCGTTTTACACAGAGACATGTTTGAAGCGCTGTAAATATTTTAATTATAAATGAGAGTAACAAAATATACATATAATATAGATCGTTTTGAGAATAATATATGAGTAAACAATAAATAGTAAAGTTTTAAAATGTTACGAGATAACAGCGAACCAATATTAGTTAAAAACGTCGAAGTAGCCAAAATTCCTGCACTTCCAAGTGTTCTATTCTTGACAGAGGCAAAATAATGCAACATGTTTTAATGAAAAAAAGTGAGATATTGTGTAGAATGATTCACAACCATTAAAAAAAGAATTCGAATATTTTTTTTGTTATAGTTTGCACGTTGAAGTTGTGGGACTTCTCGTTTTCAGCTATGTTTAGAGCACTGTAAATATTTTTCTTTCTACGTCAGAGCGGCACATTATATATACAAAATAGACCATTATGTGAAGAGCCCGTGAAAAACTATTTAAACGCTATATCTTAAAAAAACTCTACGCGATAAAAATCACAAACATAAGGTAAAAACGTCGAAGTAGTTACGTTACTTGCAAAAATATTTTTCAAATTTGTATAAAATATTTTTGTGTATTGTCATTATATACTGCTATTTGAACAAAAATTTTAAGTTTTATATTGTCTGTTTTTTGTCTATCACGTGCTGTCGAACTTGGCAGAAATGGCGAAACGTAAAAACTGGTCCGCCGCCCTGATGTAGTATTGTTTTGTTTTCTCGAGAAATACATTTTTCGTCACTAAACCTTTTTTGTGATATTGTTCCCTCCATACATTCGGGAGTAACATGTAAAAATACGAAGAAAAACAAAAATGTCGACTGGACACGCGTGCATGACCTTATCTGAACACAGACCAGTATCATTCTAAATTTGAAAAGCTTTTTTGCAAGATACGGCGTTCAGGAGGTTGTAGCATCCGGTAATGAAATGCAGTTTGTATTCGGAGAGTTTAAAGCGTTTGCTCATGAGTATGGCTTCTGTGGCGTTATATGAAGCCCAATATGCGCTCAAGCAAACGGAGAAGTAGAGAAGACGGTCAAAACGGTAAAATTTCTAATTGCAAAGGCAGATGACCTCTAGATTGCATTACTAGCTTACTGGGACACCCAAGAGCCCCTTGGGAAAAGCACAGCTGAAATACTGGTGTACAGGTACCTACGAACTAGTCTTCCGCTGCACCCTCAAAGCCTGTTTCCCCGAGCGGTTAGGCTGAACAAGGTCCGAAACCAGGATCACGCGTTCCAGGAAACGCAGTGGAAACTCTTCGATCGCCGCTGCGCAGTGCAAATTCAACCCTTGAGGCCAGGAGCCTCAGTTCGGGTGGGGAACTGCGAGCAGGAGGCCATCGTACTTTGGCTAGGCAATAGACCAAGTTCTTACGTGGTTGGGACGCTCTCAGGAGCGATCGTTGAGAGTAATCGCAGATGTTTGATATCCTGGAGTCCTGAGAAGCCCTGTCCAAATAGTTTCGAGGTCAGCTACGGTTTTCCGAGGAAGGTAGGAAACCGCTGTGCAGAATTATGGCCCACTATAGCACAACCTCCGTTGCCTGCTAGGCCTCCGACTTGTGTGTCTCATGACGGTCCTTGGCCGGCTACGTCCTCAGATAATCTGTTCCAGTAAGAAACACGTTCTCCGAAAACCGGAACGCTACGAAGCTGGCAGCTAATTTTTTTAGTAGTTGCTCATCTGCCTAAAGAGGTTTGCTTGAACAAGTTTGCTTCTGCACCTGAAGCTAGTTCTGCAAAATATATGTTTATTTGCCTAATACCCCAGTTTCAAGATTTTGTTTCTTGCGTCTCTCAGTTGTGCGACAATGTTGTCACGATTGGCGACAGCGCATTTGGCTCATCCCAATCTTTCTAGAAAGCAAGCTACGTGATTCGGTACGTGCTATCTATATATTCCGCCTGCAAGAGAATAAAAAGCTCTTTACCGCTCGCCGCTGCAGTCAGAATATGTTTGGGACATTTTTGCGGCTTTCCCTCGGCGGGGTGCAAAAGATAACACGAAAAATATTTAGATTGGTGTCCATGCAAGAGCTGTGATGTCAAAATTCTAAAAATAAGACATCTTATGGCAGCTGACTGATTACTGTGGTTGTACCCCAGCTGAAAATGGCAAAAATATAGTCATAGCAAAAGGGACAAGCTAAAAAATGGCAAAAATATAGTCATAGAAAAAGGGACAAGCTAAACAATCCTGTCGAAAATATTAAAATAGGCAACACACCTATTTACTACCCGTCAGCCGTTAATGATGCCGAAGGGAAGATATTTTTGAAGCTGTTATAGTTATGTGACATTCCAAGATTTTTCTTTCATTTGCTCAGAAGTTGGTGTGCCGCAGCGTGTTTTTTCAGGTAAATTTGAATCAAGATGCCATATTTGAGTTATTTTCAGCTGGTTTTGTCGTTGGTACCAAATCATCTATTTTTGTTATATCCAATGCCCAGAAAATTTGCTGAATATGTTGGTAAAGTAGTCGTAAGTAAAGTCAGGATGTGGTGATAAGCATAAATGGTACAAGACATCCCAGATGGCGGACGTTAGAATTTGTGGAACCGGGAGCCGAAAAAGAACCAGGAAGTGAGAATTAAACTAAGCTGAGTCGGCTTTTTGCCTTTCAATGTTGTGAAAAGGAAAGGATTGTGTTGAGTGTGGACAAGTGTTTGATGTAATGGCGATCGCCCTCCTACGTCTAATGAACAGACGCGCATCGTTCTTAAAACAAGGGGCGGCAATAAATGTTGCAGCTGAGATGAAGGCAGGTTCGTATGTCGCAATGTTTTGCTCCTCTGTGTCATGTTTTACCCGTGGGAAATCTCACAAGTTTTCTCGAATGTTATTTGAAACTTCTATTATGTGCATAGACTATTCTAACTGCCAAAGCAGCATAGGGTGGCATAAGCGGATCTTCCGCGGTAAAACGAGACAGAAACATAGGTGCATGCACATGAACGTACACTGAACAGGTCAATTTTATTGTTTGAAAATTTTAGGTGTAGGTATTTTTGTAAAATACATTGACCAAATTTTAGCCAAACACAATGTTATGCACGTTCGCAGAAGACGGAGTTAGCTACACTATTAACTTGTGAAGCCATTTTTTTTTTGTTAATAGAGCGCGACGAGCAGAAGACAATTTTTGTCTGTTCGCAGCGCCTATCGGTAGATGGCGCCGATAGTTAATTGCGTGTTGAGTCAGTGGTCAGCGAACGTGCCCAACGTCGACATTACCAAATTATTTGCTCGCTTTTTTCGTTTTATAAATGGTTTGTGCTTTGACATTTTACGCGTTTAAACTGACCTGCTCAGTGCATGAAAGTTTTAACTTTTCATGTGCAGCCGCCAATTTTTCAGCTCGTTTTACATCGGAAGATCAAAAAAGACATATAATTCCGCGTCTTTTTTTTTTGCAAAAAAGTTTAGCAATTATATTCATATAGACAATAAGAAAAGCCCACTTCACGCATCTAAAATGAATATATATATTTTAAATTTTCACGACATTAAATGTAAAAATGCTGTCTACATATGCAATCTTTATTTAATTTATTTGTCCCATCTTAAACGCAATATAACAACGGAATACAAACTTAAATATATTTTATTTTTAGTTAATTCACCTGGAGATTATATAAAATTTTCTCCGGCGCCCTAGGAATCCTTGTCTCTTCATGTTCTGGCTTAGTTGCTTGGTGGCCGGGGCGTAGCTTTGATGAGTTCTGTGTCGTTGAAATCCAGATCTTGATAGTTTCCCAAAATTGATATACTGATACAAATACCGTGAGAATTATTGCCTTCATAAACGCATTTGCAATCTTCGCTGCATCCGGTGGATTCTTCGTTTGGAAGTGTGCACTAAAATAAAAGAAAAAAGATAGGCGAGGGCAATTAAACATACTTTTTTATCTAGCATATATGTAGAAATATAAGGTGTATGAAATTGATGTTGCGTTGAGATTTTTGTTTTGCCAAACGTGTTTTTCGCACCGTTTATTCGACAGTTCCATTAACTACCGATTAAAGTCAGGAGAGCTACGTCCATATATTGTTTCGATCTCCGCAGTCACGCTTAGAAAGGAATAATATGTATATATATATATATATAAATATATATAACGGGCATGGTGGCGGGAGGCCGAAGGCGGGGGTATAAAACTGAGAAGAAAAAAACCCTCAGTGAAAAACAGCAACAACGGACGATTTAATCTTCGACGTTTCAGCCGGAGTCCGGCCTTCGTCAGGGAGAACTTTTACAGATGAACGCGGGTGGTATTTATACAATGCTACGGTCGAGTCCAAATTTCGAGGGGTGACGGTTGAAGCTTTCGAGAGAGGGAAGCGTAGGGCAGGTCTTATCCGGGTGAAGAAGAGTGACGGTCGGTGCCAAGTTTCAAGGACGGCAGGATGACGGTTGTAGCTTCTTGGGAGGGGGCGCAGGGTGACTTTGTGTCCGGGGCGGCAGCGGTCTGTGTACGCTATCGTCTATATAGGTCACCGCTGCCGGCCCGGACACAAAGTCACCCTGCGCCCCCTCCAAAGAAGCTACAACCGTCATCCCGCCGTCCTTGAAACTTGGCACCGACCGTCAAGCTTCTTCACCTGGATAAGAACTGCCCTGCGCTTCCCTCTCTCGAAAGCTTCAACCGTCACCCCTCCGAAATTTGGACTCGACCGTAGCATTGTATAAATACCATCCGCGTTCATCTGTAAAAGTTCTTCCTGACGAAGGCCGGACTCCGGCCGAAACGTCGAAGATTAAATCGTCCGTTGTTGCTGTTTTCACTAAGGGTTTTTTCTTCTCAGTTATATATATATATATATATATATATATATATATATATATATATATATATATATATATATATATATATATATATATATATATATATATAAATAGGTTAACCGCAAATTGTACCATTTGTGTTGAGGCCAGGTTATCGCAAGAGTCCTACTAAACATAAAATTGTTGTATTAACCTGAAGAACTAAGTTAATTTTTTTTAAGAATTTAGCCTTAATATTTATCCTCCTAATGAAACTGGTGTAGGTCATTGGGATGCGATATTAGTAGGCGGGATGTTCAGATAATTAATTTGAAATAATTTATACTTACATTTTTCTTTGCTTACATATATTACAATTACAGAAGTGTTACTAAAAATTGAGACACCTTGTTTTGAACCATTATCCGGATGATTATCTTGTCAAAAATATTAATTGCCCGTTCAAAGTTCCTTAATAAACCTATACAAACCATTTGTAGCCTTATTGTTAGAGAATAAGTTAAAAGTCTTCGCAAATGATATCCTTAGCTCGAACCCAATGACCGACGCCATTATTAAGAAATACTAGCCTCAGTTTATGTTGTACGATGCTGTTCGCCAGTTAAAATTTTATTGTGCGAACATTATCCACTTGTTTGCGACAACAAAGAGGTAGGGCTTTGTGCTATTGAATAATTAAAACAAAATTCGAAACAAAGTGTTGTCAAAACTTTAGTAATACTTATTGGCTAAAAAACAATGTTTAAGATTACTCTAACAAAAAAAAAATCTCAAGAAATTTTAAATCTGTGTTAGACTAGCGCCCCTTAAGCCATTTGATAGAGAGGTGTAGTCTTGTATCATACCTAGAGTCGAGCAATAAACAAATAAAGCCTCCTCTGGAATCCCTTTCTTAACAACGAATTCATATTCCTGTACTTCAGTAACACGATGCTATTTACACTGAGCATAATACTACGACATCCACGTCGTGTGTTTCGATATTAGACCAGACTATCCAAACGCAAGAAAGTAGTATGACGCGCTTTTTTACAATATTTTTTACGAATATGTAAATTTAGTGTACATTTAATGATAACTAATAAAGCCTTAGGCTTCGTTAATGCATTTAGACAGATGCATTTAGAAATTGTATTTATTAATTTTATGAATTATGAATATAGGTAGAAAGTAAACTTGGGCTCCACTGAAGAAACCCTATTACAGTAGTAAACTGCGAGAAACACATTTCGCTGTCAACCATCTTTCCTTTTACCCGAAGCACGTAGCACTGGGTATCGATTTGAAATATTTCTGATGATAAAAAAAAAAAATGTAGAGGTTTACAAAAAAATATAACATCAAAAAAGAGTGTCAAGGGCCAATTAAAATGTTTTTATTAAGATATTCATGCTTATTCAGCGTGGTTGCATTGAATTCACATTACACTATTTAAAGTGCAAAATATAATGCCTTCATTAACAAAATATTTTGATCATACCCATAGAACCAGCTAATTTATAGTTTTTAGTCGTTAGTTATTCTTGTAAATAGACGCCAATCTCACGTATTTAAGGCGGTCATTGTAAGACCGCGCAGAGTTATCATGATATTGCGCTCAAGCACAATATTTACACGTGGTGATTACTTAATTGGAGTTTTCTCTTATCAGTTTCATGCCACTATGATCGCTTTTCCGGTACTGTGTTTGCGCATGGTAAAATATACAGATATCTTAGCCAAATACTTTATGGTATGCGATTTGGGCTATGCTTATAAATATTTCTTTCATTCCGGTATAATTGTCTATTAACACGAATATAGGAATTCGTCTAGTAAATCTCCTAGAAATAGGTATCGAAAGGAATCGGAGGCCTTCTTTAGGACATATATATATTTCTAAGCTTTGATTCGTTTGTTGAATGTAGGATATTAGCAACTTGTTGTTTTTCGGCACTGCTAGATATAAAACAAGAGTGCTGCTTTACGAGACCAGTTTCTGCATGAGCCTGGGCAATAGCCCAGGCTCATGCTGAAACTGGCAATTTGCAATTTGAATTTTATTCAAATTGGTGTGGGCAGCAATTAGAAATTCTTTGCTTTGTGAGAACGACCTCATTGAACAATTTTTGGAAAGTTTATAGTGATATTAAAGGAAAGTAATGGTTACGAAACTCAGTTAGTGTGACTATTTTTACGTGAAATCAACTGTATCTCTTTATATGAGGCATTTCATTAGACCCAGTAATGCGTACAAATAGTGCAAGTACTTCAGTTGACAAGAAAGGGGCACTGCATCTCCGCCGCGTAGCCGCTTAAGATTCAGTGCCAAGAACCATTACATATATAGCTGATGTTCACTTCATAAAAATAGTTGAAGTTATAGATATTTTATACAAGACTTCTGAAAATAAATTACATTCTTGCCACAATATTGCACATAAATGCCATCTTCCTGAAATTCTTTTTCTGCTTGCACCTCTGATCCGGCAACAAGTAAATGGATGCTGAAAGAGAGGTAAGTCTTGCATAAATAATTCGTAAACATCTATTAACTCAGAGCATTCTATACAAACACTGCCCCCCACTGTTAAACCTTATATTTTACTATAATTTTATCTGGGAAACCAGTTCGAGAGAATTTAAAGTATTAAGAACATTGAATAAAATTTGGGTAGTTTATATATTGACCACGCACTTTCGGAATGTCAATGCTTGATTTAAAACGATTAACTACATTCTGTAGTGGTTTTAATTTTATCATTAACTACAACCTATACGGCATTCAGTACGGAATATTTTTTGGCTAATTTCACTATTTTTTTGTAAAACGACACATTTGACGTTTGCTCTTTCAGTGCCTAATGTTAGTGCAGCTTTGAGCTGTGGCGACACTGGTTTTCGCAGTAGGTAAGAAATTAAACCAGCGCTGTACAGCTGCTGCCTATGGACTTTAACGTGCATCAGTGTCTAGTAATACACGAACGCACGCCGGTCCCATTCTTATTCAGATCAAAACTAGCAGGGGCCGGGATTGAACCCGGGATCCCGAGGTGTTGCAGTGCGAGCTTTCACTCAGCATCCTCTGAACTGCCTCGCACTAACGCCCTCGACCACCGATGTACTTTCGTAGCCAGCGAATATTACACGTCTTCACTGAATGCTCCCCATCTCAGCAACCTTGTTGCCTAATTTACGCACACGTAAGGCCGCATGATAATAAAAAGGCAATATGAAGCAATGTGAAAAACACCTTCATCCACAAGGACATCAAGCAAACAGCCAAGTAATGCAGGGTAAAACTATCAAACAATATACAATACAATAAGCTGTGCAAACCTTTATACTGTAAATTTGATGTGTAACATAAATATATTAATCTCTGCCTCAACATCCGCTGAATTTCATAAAATCTACTTGCACTGCAATGAAAAAAAAAATATTTGAGGCAACACGCCAGGAAAATAAAGAAAATGTCAGGTGTGAGCTCAAGATGCCACCTATGAACCGAAAAACTGACAGTGGTGCATAATTCTGCCACGTGTATTCCAATTTAGACCCAAGCTCCCAGGTGAAAACCGAACAACCAGAAATGAAGCTTAATTTCCGAATTTACTGGGGAATTGAGGTAAAAAGAAGCATCATGAAGCCGAGCAACCAGGCAGTGAAGACTAACAACGTCGTTGGTTTTCCGATTTAGATTCAAAATACTTATACTAAATCCAAAGGATGTCAAGTTTGGTTATACTATTTTTCTTCGACTTTCGGAGCCCTAAATTGCGTGAGAAAAACCAAAAACTTTTCCCAGAACTGTGCTACTTGAGTTTATTCACGCTCTTAGGGTATATTCTCACGTGTGCTTGGCAATAAACTGTTCGTTTTAAGTTATTGGAACTACTTGGAAGGTTTAACCAACCTGAACGGAAGATACCGGCATGTATTCTGCATTACTTGATTTATATATGCTTTAGTCTTAACGACTTTGTGTTAGTTCTACGTTGTAAATTTTGCTGCTCATCTGAGTGTACAAGGAGGTTGACTGATGCGTTTTTATATTCTCACAGCACAATTCTGGCATAAAAGACAACCATGAAATCTTATATTCCGTATTCATTCATCGGCGAGAACCCTGGATATCAAGGCCATCGTGATTTGAGTTATCAGTTCTTGCTGTAGGGTTCTCAATAAATCCTTGGGAATCAAACTTGGTATAATATCGTAAACATATTGTAGCTTTGGAGAATTACAGAATAATATGGGTTTCAGATCAGAAAGCTTAGAGGCGTATGTTGATGTGATGTTGTTTTGTTTTACGATATCCTTACACTAATTCCGCTTTTATTGAAAAGAAGATTTGGGCATGTGAATTATTCACAATGGAAACATGGCAACCCGAGTGAAGAAACAATTTACTAGGGTGCCACAATGGTTATTATCAATCAAGTTCAATATTAAAGTACCATACGGCAGACATGATATACTTTATTACTGATGTTTTTTTTTCTTCCACCTATTCTAAAGCTGAATTTCAATTTCTCAAGAGGCACGAACTGTCAGTAGTACATTTCCGCGCCTGAACACGCGCTGAAAAAAGAACTAAATCGAGCAAACCGATTAAGGTTATAACTTATAACTGCCCATGTATGATTGGTAAGTGACCAACACGTTGCCTATTCCATGCACGCGTGGTTTGAAACAGCAAACTTAGCATGTTTTTTTTTTAAGAGGTTTATACATTTTGTTTTTGGTTTCACATGTGAGACTAGAATATGTAATAACCTCCAGGGTTTTTAACTCTTAATTTAGTGCATAGTGCATTATATTCAACCGTCAGGTTATTTCTTATTGAGCACAGCCGACGGTGCGGTAAATAATCATATAAAACATTTGCTCTAAAATTTACTGCTTTGGCTCGGCGGGAATATCAATACTATCCACCAAGAAAAGAAAAAAAAGCCAAGAAAAAATTTGCTTGGATACATTATGTGATCAAATATGGGATCTTGTTTATCACACAAATTGGAAAAATGACTAGAAAAATAGCTTCTGTTGACGCATGCATATTCTCTAAAATTGAAGCGCTAACTGGTAATGAAATGTTGGATTATTGAATACAGACTCCCGGTTTCTACTCGAAAGTTGCTAAGCGTCATCGTAAAAAAAAGATAATTCGTAAATTTTAGAAACACTTGGACCGCGTGGGAAGTGCGCCGTGTGCTTAAGATACAACTCGTACAGCAGGTGCAAGGCTGAAGGTTCGAAAAGGCGCCAGCGAGGTTTTCTTGTCTTTTACCATTCGCATTTTACAACCACCAGCCTTGTGCATGCTGCACAAATGGTAAATTAGGTGCAGTACCGTGCTTTCCACGTGCTCAAAGTTAAAAAAAACTAATTTAGTGGCTATTGATGACCTTGTGCACTTCTTTAATTTAAATAATAAGTCTGTATTCAATAATAAAAAAAATAGATTCACACATTCTTGGTAATTATCTAAGTTATCGTGGCGATTTGTCCCCCATGATAAGCCCCGGTGGCCGTATCACTTCCCATTCACACACCAAAGGCGTCTAGTTCTCAAGGAGTTTTTAACACGAATCTGAAAACCATAAAAATTCTGTAGTCTGTGTAGACTGGCCATTCTATATCTGCCTTGAAAAAAATATAATTTTTTTTAAAGAAAGCTTCGATTGCCGTTACTGAATCTTATCTTTCTATTGCAAAAAAGAACAACATGCCGATTCTTTGTAATGTCGTGTTAATTCAAATGATGTCAAAATATTATCTCAAAGTGTAATATAATGTTTTTTTAGAGATGGCCTGGTACTATAAGTGCCCTGATATTATTTCTCCACTACGCAGAATACGCAATTAGGCTGGTGCATGAAAATGAATATGATGTGTTCTCCAATAAAGGTGAAGCTAAGCGGACGCAAATCTCTGCAGTATTAGAATTCGAGCTTGTGCCATTATAATGCTAATGGCGCACTGGAATAACTACAATAGTTACTATCAGTAAAAAATATTGACATCCTCGGAATGTTTGTTGGCGACGAAAATCCACGTGTTTGTTCACTGTTGCATATGCATTTAGAAGCTTCCGTGAGATTCCAAAATTGAACAGGCTCTATTTTCATTCGCAGTTTACTCTGCCTGCTCAGTGGCTTATTTTGTCACTTCGGGAAAAGGAAATTATGAGCTGCCGTTTAAAGCACTTCAGCTAGTGCTTTGAGTCATAAAGATCCAAATGCAATTGACATGCCAAGCAATTCACACAGTAGAAAATTGCAGTGTATGTTCAACTCCCAAAATACGTGAAGCTGAATACTGAAAATAATAAACAAAATCGCAAATTACATAATGAATTTTGGGTTTAAAATTAAATTCTAGCTACGCAACTTTGTGGATAGATCATCATACAAGTTTAATAATATTTGTAATTCTAAATCTGAAATTTTAGAAAAGATAAAAACGTCTGCTTGGCAACATACCCAAGGACCATAACGGCGGCAATCTGAAGAAATATTATAGTTTTGAGTTCCATTTCAAGTACTTCGTCGGAGTTGTGATAGGGCGTACTTTACCCTCAGAGCTTATATACCGGTTAGAATAAAATGCAGGTGTTATTTTCTAAAATAACTAAGACTGACGTCACTCGCATAGCGTAAGTTCGCCAACAGAAAGAAGCGTAAATAATACACTTTTTTTTTCAATGCGCACCTGTTGTTAGTTGTTATGTATCGTAGGCGTGACTGTATGAAAAAATATTTTATATTCGACTGCCAGTCGCACAATATATTAATTTACAGGGTTCTTTGACCTACGTGGGACAAAAACTTTCGTGTATACAACCTAAAAAGCACATTGAAGTTTGATAGTCTGTTCCAAATTAAATAGAGTGCTTTGTGTAATTGTTTTGCTTAAAAAGCATGGTGAGCAAACAATATTTGTCTCTTAATTGAGCTTACGAAAAAATATAATAATAAAAACCAACTCTAAAGAGGGTTCTCGCAAGTCATGAAATGTTCCGAAAATAACTGAATAAGATATACTGACTATATACGTGCAGGAACAAACGCAAATCTCATTTTGCTGGGAATCGAATTTCTTTGTCTACAAAAAGAGTTTCGAGTGTGTTAACGAATTGTCACACATTACTGAGATTAAAATATTTTGTGTTACATAAAAAAATACACATTTTTTTATAGTAATGACAATGAAATGATGTAGAAAACATACATGCGCCGATCGCTTTTTTTAGATATGAGTAATATGGAGGTAAAGAAGCATTATAGGTTTCCTGGATACTTAACACATATTATATTTACTGAAGATACATCACCAGTTTTGTGATACTTCGAAAAGTCATTTTAATAACTGACATATAACGCTGGGATAACATATAGTTTCATAGTATACTTAATAATCTAGGAATATTATAGATATGTTGCTGTTGAATTAGTACAAAGGTAAAAGTTTCTTCAACTCAAAATGTGTGATGAAACTTGTGCGAACTCACTTCTTGAACCATCAAGACTACTGTCTCATATGTAAAACGCTGTAGTTTAATAGAGCTCAGAAATAAACTACTATCTTCTAGTTAAATACAATCGATTTTAATCTGCTTACATTTCACTAGAAAAAAAATCAACTCAATGCACCTCACACCACAAAACGGAAACAAATATTTTATTAAGAACTACCAATCATAAAAGTGTACACCGGACCATCGATGACGCAAGCGCTTTGTTTTAGGATGGACCTCAACGGCCTCATGCAATGTGCTAAATTGTGTCACAAAATAATTATACATTTATTCATGCGCTTAGCACCAGACCCATGTTTTGTTTTTTAGTTCAAAAAGGCTGTATCTGTTGAATATACTTATGTTATATATAGGTGCACAGTCATTGGCACTGTTTTAAAAAGTCTTTAAATTTCATTACCATAATTTGAGTAATCTTACGTTTTACATACTTTGGAATATTGTAAGATAGTTGAATTTTCAAATAAAATTTTAAACATTGAATAATTGCGATATAAATATAATTTAATAAACTTTTACTGACCTCGTTTTATATGAAAGCAACGAAGATGTCTGGATACGTTCATTCATTCATTTATTTATAACGGTCCACAAACAACATGACGCTTTTTAGTGGTGCGCTTTCCAGATTACTATGTAACAGCAGAAAAATATGAATAGGGAGACAAAATGTTAAACAGCATAATATCACAGAATTTCTAAATCTGCTTGCGTGATCAAAAATATCAAGGCTACTATTTGCAACAATCTGTTCACAATGGTTACACGTTAATTGTAGCCCTTTCATAGCTTCTGCCTTATGCAAATCAAAAAGATAAAACATTTAATGCGATTTGCAAGAATTCCGAGAAACGCGTAAGTACATGCAACTAAGTAATACAGATGTATCGATTATTCCAATCGCGACCTTGCGCCAAAACTGCATGTCTCATTCATCTGTTATGCAATGTATCCAGTTTCATCAATCTGCATATTTTATCATCATCGCAGTAATAATCGCTATAAAAATATAGATCATAAAAACTACATGAATGAATTTCCTTTTAACACCCTGGAATAATCGATACAGATGTATCGATTATTCCAATCGCGACCTTGCGCCAAAACTGCATGTCTCATTCATCTGTTATGCAATGTATCCAGTTTCATCAATCTGCATATTCTATCATAATCGCAGTAATAATCGCTATAAAAATATAGATCATAAAAACTACATGAATGAATTTCCTTTTAACACCCTGGACGATGCATGAATTTTTAACTGCAATAAAATTCCACACCACCAAGGCGTATTCAAAATGACTACGCACGACGAGTGAGCAAAACAAACATAAAAAACAGTGAATAACAAAAATCGCGTGTTTCACGTGTAATCTGTAACAGGCTTGAGCTGAGCTACTTGGTTCATAGTTCACTTACGGCCAGCTGAACTAGAAAAAACATACACATAAAGAAAAGACCATTCACGCCGCTGGACTAACAACTGATTTTCTTTTTCCTCCTCTTCTACTGCAAGCCACACTTGAGGGAACAATTCTCTTTTCCTCTTTTTTGCTTTCTAATCCACCTTAAAATTTCTTTTTCTAATTCTCCTTAAAATGTTAACCCCGAAGGAATCTTTTTTCTTTCTCGTGAAGCACGAGAGAAGGTGCACTGACGCAGTCATCCCCTTTTTCCTCAATGGCAAGTGCCTCTAGGATTTCACGTCCCAGTTTTGTTTTGTTCCTTGCGACGATGTTTACGTCATAGAACAGTGCCGAACATTGACATGCACGACAATGGGTTGGCAAGTGTCCTCCTGCTGACAAGGTTTTCATTGTAATGGTCCTAAGACTTTAAAAGATGTATTCGTTAAAGCAATGACAAGTAATTGAAATGAAATACAGGGTCTATATAGACTCCCAGATCTCAAATCAAGGAAACACGAGCATTGGCGAAGTCGTCGAACGTAAAATAAAATATCACAGTATCACGCTTTCTAGAAAATGGCAAAATTTTTGTCTCCCTTGCATTCAAATCAAGGTCAGTCAGAGAACACCACGCCGAAATTGAATTTACATCACGCTAAAGACGCTCAGAGTCCTTTCCCGTATTAGCCACGTTAAAAAACTTAATGTAGTCAGCAAATAAGAGTAATTGTGCCTGTTTAATGGCCGGAGAAATATCATTTAAGAAAATTAAAACCAAAATGGACCAACATTGCTGTCTTGTGGAATACCAGAAGCAGATAAAAATAATCAGGTGAGCAGCTCGACACTCGCACAAAATTTACTTGAACGATGAATAACTTTCTAAAAGCCGATAGCACTTAAAACAAGTACCGAAGTCGTAGAGCTTTTTCAAAAGTATCTGACGATATACTTTATCGAATGGTTTAGTTATATCAATCTACACGACATTTGCTTGGTTTTGGCTATGTACAAATGGCACGACATGATTAAAGAAGGAGCACAGATTGATCTCCATGATCGGCCCTTCATGAAAGCTTTGCCTTCTCCAATAATCTTCTGACTAAAATATCTGCAAAGGCGAGTATACAAAGCAATTTTGAAAACTTTAGATGAACTACAAATTTAGAGAAAGGACGATCAGTATTAAGCGTCGAACGGCCGCCCGGATTTATGCAACAGAACTACAAGATATAGTTTCCAAGCGGCAGGAAACATTCCTGACTCATTTTAGAAATTAAAAATGTGAAGCAACACTGGACACTGTAGTTGAGCACAACCCTTCTCTATAAAAGTTGACATTCCAGCCGCTCCTGCAGACGACTTCGCTTTCAATTTTCTTATGGCATCCAGTACTCCACTTTCAGTTGCTGGAACGAGAGACAAAAATATGTGCGCTTTCTATTTGAGTATGGTAATAGGCAATAGTTAGTATTGAACCAAGAGCGAAAATGCTTGGAAAAAATTTAAAACCTCATTAGGACTTTAATAATAATCCTCGCCATCTTGCAGTGTGATAGTAGCAACATTATTTTTCGTGATGGCCTTAAGATATTTCCGTAGGCACTGCGGCCGTGTGCTCATTGGTGCTCCGTAATGTTACCGCGCTCTCGCTTATCGCTCTCAAACAATCTTTTCGCCAATGCTCGACACGGACTATATGTTTGATGCCTATTCGATAATCCAGTTTTCCATTTCAGATGATGATAGTGTAGCTTGCGTCTTAAGTACTGCCTAAGTTGCTTTAAGAACCATGGATCGGTCTGCGCTTGAGATGGGTAAGACTTGTTTTCTCAGTAGTTATGCATTTGCCAATGAAATACTACTTCACCTTGGTTGTTCAAGTCTCGCAGAACAATAGTAAGTACAATATTACAGAATGGTACAGTGGCCATCTATACTGAAACACGTATAAAGTATTATCCCTGAGCGCAGTGCGGAGTTTCCTTCTTCACGTGCTCCATGCTGTTGTGCTCTACTACACTTCGACACCAATTCGTCCTTTGCGTCTTCAGTCTTATGTAAGCAACATGCCTCTTAACTGGTTTGAGGTCAAGAGTACAGAATGTATTAAAAATAGAAACAATAAGTGCGGTTGGGGGTGAACTCTTTAACTTTGGTTTTAGCTTGAGCTCCTTTTTTTACTTCAAAGTGCTCTCACACTGACTATAAAGCAAGCTTTCCTGGTCTGAACCTTTCATGTTCAGTGACCCACCTTATTGCTCGTCCGTATAGATTACACACTCTCAAGTCCACAAAAGTGACCAAAATCTGCGTATGCCCATACAGATGCATATGCTTAGTTAAAATAAGCCTCATTTTATTATACCTTGAATCAGATACAATATGTGCTAATTGACTCGAAGGTGCTTGTCCTTCGAATATTGTTATATTTTGCGAATACTTTCCAAAGTTTCTGGTGATTTTTTCATAAGGTACGGTTTCGAGGCGAATGCATTGTCGAGCAAACAAAAAAATGCTAAAGAGGATTTTTTTTCTTTTTAAATCAATATGTAACACGTTTACCGTTTCCCGTTATCGTAATTTCGTTATACGTTGGTAAACGACGTTTTA